GGCAACTGCTGCATTTGTCTCCATGGTCATGCTGGGCACCCTCACCTGCGCCTTGATCTTCCTCTACCTATTTTATAGGTAAACCCCCCGCCCGGGCCGGTGTGGCTCAGTGGTTAGAGCGCCGGTGGCCGCGGGTTCGATTCCCAGCCGGGGACACGGACCTGATGCGAGAGGGCGGGGCGGGGAGAGAGAGAGACATGTTGATTGGTCGCCTTTCCGCATGGGCTCCAACCGGGGGCCGGGGGAATCAAACCTGAAACCCAGATGCGTGCCCTGGACCAGGAATGAAACCTGTGACCCCTTTGGTGGTGGGGGGGGGAGGGGCGGGCCGACGCTCTAACCACTGAGCCACCCTCTAATTGGTTGCTTAAAAATGAACAGATCAAATGGGATCTGTATCTATATATAAAATGCTAAGTGACCGTCCGACCGTCCGTCCGACCGTCCGACCGACCGTCCGACCGTCCGTCCGTCCGTCCGTCCGACCAACCGGCCAGTACATATGACGCGCACTGGCAATTTAAAAATACACGTTGACTCGGGCAGGCGCGCTACACATAAAGCTCTCGCTGGCGCCAGTCGCACGCGATGCCAGACTGTATCTGCAGACCAACGATGGGCGCTTTGCTGTGGCTGTGTCATGTGGTTGTTGGTGTTTATTTATTAATCAACTGATCAGTCATTGGTTTTATCCGTGTTGTCTTTATACCATGTCTTTGTTGTTTTTACATCATGTTGTTGTTTCTTTATTAATCAATTTATATATTACTAGAGGCCCGGTGCACGAAATTTGTGCCCTGGGGGTGGGCGCATGGCAGTCGGACATCCATCTCGCAATCCGGGACCGCTGGCTCCTAACTGCTCACCTGCCTGCCTGCCTGATTGCCTGTAACCCCTCTGCCTGCCTGCCTGCCTGATCACCCCTAAATGCTTCTGCCTGCCTGCCTGATCTTGCCCCTAACTGCTCTCCCCTGCCAGCCTGATCGCCCCTAACTGCTCTCCACTGCCGGTCTGATCTCACCCCAAC